TGGGACGTCCCATCTGATCTGCTGTCTTCTCAAACCCCAGACTTCCCTGGCACTACACCGCTTGACTGCGACTCTAGACCCAGCTCAGGTGCTGATACTCTAAATTCCTCATTAATAAACCTTTGTCGTTTTGTAAAGAGCACTTCAAAATATTTTTGTGTGGATACTTGGACCTTTAACAAAGGCACTTGGGCCTCTGAAATATCTCGCGCTGAGGTGATTCTCTATGCTGTTTATATTCACTGAGAGAGAATTGTGTGATTAGTCACTGTTCCACAGTATTGTTTCCCTTTTTAGTATTTGGTTTATTATATAATTATTTAGTCACAGCTGGCTATTATTGGTGTTGTATGTTATTCAGCACAGCAGTGCTCGTCAAAACCTGGATGAAGAGATGTTAAACCTTAAATGATTACAATTTAAAATAACTATTTAATATATTTTAAAATTTGATTTATTTCTGATTGGTAAAGTGAATTTTCAGCAACATTACTCCAGTTGTCAGTGCCACATGATCTTTCAGAAATTTTCTAATAGTCTGATTTAATAGTCTGGTCCATTTCTTATTTTCAGGATTCTTTGATGAATAGAACATTCAAAATAACAGCATTTATCTGAAATACAAGTATAATTTTGTGACAATGTAAAAGTCAAGTGCATCCTTTTTGAATCAAAATACAAAAAGGAAAAACATACTGATCCTAAACTTTGGAACGGTAGTGTATATAAAAAATACTGTTCAGTTCTTAGACATACACAGTGCTTACAGTAAAACACAAATTATAGCAACTATAGCCAATTAGAATTCATTTAATCTTAATAAATGTATTTATTATATTAAATTATTTATATATATATATATATATATATATATTAATGTATTCATAGAGAATAAATCACTGTTTAGATGCTCCGACAAAACAAAAGCTTTAAAGTTTTAATAGTTCCGCATATGACTCCATTATAATTGTCTCTGCTAATAAAATGGGATTGGAGGCTATATTCTAACATACAAATACACACACATTAGCTCTACGTGATAAGATTAAATTTACACAACACACTGGAACCTGTTTGGATAAACTTAGAGATTCATCAGTCAGTGAAACTATGTGATATGTCTAAATCAAAAGCAGTTATCCTTTAAGCCATCCCTGAAGAATGTAACACATTTCACACAAGCATATGACTCATAGCTTGGATGGCTTGGGGCTCTATTTGAAACAAATGATTCAGTGTTGACCTCTTAACTTCAATATGACACACAGTTTCTGAGTTTTTGGGAGTTCTCTTTTTACTTTGGCAAACATTAACCCTAGCTTTTTATGGCAATCCCATCATTTATATCATGTGTCACCCCTGAAGCACTTCTCCCCCTAACACTCTTAACTTCATCTATCATTCTCTTGTCCAAAGGTTTTTACTCGGTCAGTGGAAGTTCTCTGTCAGACTCTTGTTACTCTGTATCCAGCGAGGTGGCTCCTGGAGGGTCAGTGAAAGTCAGTCGTAGGCCTCGCTCACTGGATCATAGTGCCAATCATTGGAGGGAGGCTGAATCTCTTAGTACAGAGTGTCCTGGGGGCACAGTGGAGAAACAAGAAAGGAGGCCCTTTTCGACTGGTAGGATCAATCTTAAATCTGTGCTATTAGAGGTCTTTGTTTTATTCAAAAATCAAAAGATTGGCCTATTTATATAAGAAAGATTTGTTAAAAATACTTACACAGGATGATAGTATTTGTTGAACATTTTCTATTTTTGTATATTTTCATTTAAGGTAATTTAAATATTATACATCATAATGTAACAATCCTATATAACAGTAATAAGCATTTAATGAGTATAGGAATTCAAAACAAAAGGACAACAAATAAGTAAAATGCCCAATTATTATTTATAGTACATACGCATATATATATATATATATATATATATATATATATATATATATATATATATATATATATATATACATGCATATATTATTTATATATACTGTATATACATAGGTTCCTTTTTGTAATACTTTGGTGTTTTTTTTATGCCTCTAATTAAAATAAGTAGATAATTTATTGTATATTAAATAAGGAGAATGGAAATAATAATACTTTTTTTTTATTCTTTATGAACAGGGGATCTTGAGCTCAATAGCCTCATGGTCCTGACAGACCTTTGTTCCAGTTTGGGAGGGTTTCACCCAGGCTCTCTTCTACCTTCTTCCAGCTCCAGTCTACAGATTCAGCTGGACCCAAAATTTTGCTCTGACCTAGTTTCTCGAAAGACAAAAGAGGTGTACCCTTACCCTAGTCCACTCCATGCTGTGGCCCTCCAGAGCCCCCTGTTCACGACCTGCCAGGAACCTTCCCCCACCCACCTCTCGCACAGTCCAGAGAGTGAGCAGCCTGTGGAGCCAGGGCTTGATCAACCTCCTGTAAAGCCCCCAGCCTCTCCTTCTTTTACTCAGCTGGAGAAATACATCAACAGATTAGTCCATCAGCATCACTGCAGGGTGGCTGCTGAAACCTCCAGTCGTGGACCCCAAATAACCATTGCAGGTTATGAGGGACTCCACCCAAGAAGTGCTTCCTCCTCCAGCCTATCAGGAGGTAGTGCGACTCCTTGTAAGTCTATCCTGGGCAATTCAGCGAGAGTCAGCCTCAGCAGTATTGGTAAACATGCAAGTCGCAATTCCATCAACCTCGGAAACTTGCCCTCCGTGACAGGGGAGGATTTTAACATCAGCTTCCAGTTGAATCTGAATTTGAACCTAAATCCAAACCTGAACAAGACTTTGAGTTTTGATGCTAAAAAGTTGAAAGAAGAAGTCTCAGGATCATGTGGGCATCTCTCCGCCAACTTAGTCACTCCAACTGCTTCCCCTTCCTCTTCGACTTCCACCATCACCAGCACTCCAAACTGGAGTAGGAGACCAAGGATCTCCACCTGCCCTTCCTCAGTGAACCATCGTGGGTCTCTGGAGATAACTGGAAAGACCTTTGGTCCAGTGGGATTCTCCAAATCTCTAGACTGGAGTGGAGCCTCAAGGGAAGAGACAGAGGGTTGTCCTCCTATCAAAGCTTCAGAAAGCCCTCCCAAAATGAATGAGGACTCTGCAGTTGTATGTGAGATCTCTCGTGTATCTGGACTGCCAAGATCTGTAGTGCTTGGTTTGATGGAGGAGGGGGTGGAGTTGGATACAGAATGTTTTAGGAACGAACGAGAAAGAGGTGTAGGTTCTGCTTCTCCAAGTAACGTTTCTACACTGCACTCTTCCCGGTCTTCCTTTCAGCACCCGTTTGGATTAGAACGAACTAATCTGACACCACCATCAAATGCCTGGACAGGTGCAGGCACAGGACAGGATTACATATCTCAACAGCATCGCCTACAAGTTTCCCACTCGGATTGCCATTCGGCAATGACATCGCAGTCAGGTAGCCCTCATTCGGACAATTCTGGACCCACGCCTACTCGTTCTTCTCCCATCCTACCTTTCCCACATAATCAATCAGATCCTGCCTCATCTCCAGGCTCTTCCCACACCAGAGTCCACTCCCCTCCTCGGCTACTTTCAAATTCACCCTTCACTCCTGCCCAGCTGTCAGTATTTCGGCGTGACTCCCCATCTCAGTGCTCTCTTCCACGCTTTCATCCATGTAGTTCCCCACTGGAGGGTCCCATTCGACCTCGTGGAGGGTCCCTCAGGCAGAATGCAGGGGCTGGATGGAGGCCTCAAGATAGAGGCTGGAGGAGGAGTGGGGATGGAGAGAGGCTCTACCAGGGCAAACATGCCTCCAGGGAACTCATCCGTGCATCCACGGTGAGTAGCTATTCGGGCAGAGACTACGGCACTGGATGGGAGGATGAAATGAGCACTCAAACACCTAAAAAGGGTGGAAAGTTTTGGAAGGGGTTTGAAACACGATTTTGGGGAAGAGAGGAGGAGGAGGATGACGAGAGAGCTGGAGGTTTTGGTTGGAGGCACACCTCGTTGAAAGAAACATCATCCAGTAGGCAAGATCAAAGAGGGAACAACTCGAAAAAGAAAGGAACAAGTTGGGACAGTCGGAGTTCCAGCCTCCGGTTGTCCAGACGAGCATTATTTCGAAGTGAGTCTCAGGGAATTCTCGATCCACATTCTCAGAAACGAGAAAGCAATCAGTGGCGTTCCTCGTTTGAGATCAGCCGTGCAGGACGAGGCTCTGAACGTGCTCGCAATCTGGTGCGAAAGGAGGAGAAACATCATTCTTCAACTGCCAGTCTCTTCCATCTCTCTCGATCCCAGAGCCTGGAGGGAAGCAGTCACTCCCTTTCTCCTCTTTCGTCTCCATCCCTCTCACCCTCGCCACCCCCATCAGCTCCTCTCACTCGTTCCAGATCGTTCCGTGACCTTGGAAGGAAAGTGTTTGGCTCTATGAGGTCCCTCAGTTTCAATAAAAATCACAAGTCAAAAAAGAAAGAATAGTGAGAACATTTCAAAATGGGAGAAATCATGCAGCCAACTTTTCCAAACTTACGATTTACTCTCATTCTGCTTGTTTAGAATCTGCATGCCATGCTGTGTTGTGGTCTGTGCACTCTTATGGTCAAAGTGGTACTGGTGTTGTTTTTAATATGAACATATTATGCTTAAAAAAAAAGTACATTAAAGTATATACTGACCAAAAACAAAAATGTTGTTTAAACTCATGCTCAGGACTTTGAAAAAATATTAAATAATTTGAAAAGATTGTTAAAGTGCTGAAACATGATGAAATATAAATAAAAGTATTTCAAGTTTAACATGATCCCGATTAATTTGCTTGGCAATGACTGCTGCTGCTGAGTGAAGAGTTCTATGGTACAATAGGATTAAATATCTCACAAACAAAACTCTGCTGCCATAGACTTATAATAAATGTCTTATCACAGCATTTCTCTAATCATATTAGTATAATCCATTAACAATCTAATAGCTTGTTTGAGTAATCAATTTCAAATGGCAAATAAATTAGGCTTTGGGTTCTTTCAAAAATATTTATTAGGATGAACAAACAAAAAACAAGACAACTTTCATCTGAAAAATGAAAAGAACAGAAATAACACACTACAGCTGGAAGAAACTGAATGCATCACAGAAGCAGCTTGACAGCACATTAGCCATACAATACCAGACTACAATGCATTTGAAGTGCATTAAAATGATCTTTCAAGCTGCCACATTGCACCAGATTTCAGTCACACGTTTAATCCTGCCATGGGACCTTCAACACCAGTAAATGCCATATGCAGCAAATTATCCATGCCCTGAGGCAAAACATCCCACTTCCTTCAGGATGCGGCCAACTCGAAGTTCATTTAACTTGACGTATGTTCCTGCTGAGTCATGTATTAGTCCATTTAGGCCAGTTTCTGTGTCTTCTCCTCTGCTAACTGCTCCTCGCCTTGTTTCTGTTTGCTGAACATGCCTTTGTACAGTGCCTTCTCTTTCTGGTAGTCTTGGCTGAGTCTCTCCTCCACTCGCTGCAGCTGTTTCTTTACATCGGCATCTGAGAAATAGAGAACAGGATAAAATGAATGGCATCGTAATTTTAATCAAAGCATTGACATGAATTTGATGCGAAACCGAGCAGTTCAATCGAAAGCTGCCAAAGCGTTTGATCTTACTAAATCTGAAAGAAAATGGATCAATCCACAAAATGTAACAACACTACATTACGTAACAGGCTCAAAATTCAACACATGCTGAATCCCCTGAGAAAACTGTATCAGAAATTCCCAGGAAGCATATTAATTAGACCAGTAGTTCCAAACCTTTTTTAGGGGACTTTTATTTTACTGCACACTTCTTGACACCTACAAAAAAAGTATTTCAAATAGTATTCACAGTCACACATACATTTTTTATCTAATAGGACAAGCAAACATTTGTAGATATGCCTTTTAAATCAAAGTAAATAAATCTTGAGTTGCACAGCAGTACTGTGGACAGTTTGGTTATTTAAATTAGCAGGCAAATAATTTAAAGGGAACACTTTGTCTGGCTTTTCTCATCTTTTTTATTGTTATATCAGGAGTGACTTTAATGATTTCCATACGACTATCATTGCACACTTTCAGTCTGTATCATGCAGAACATTTTCACTGATTAACCGATTCTGTGTGGCATTCAGCCTGTATTTTTAGATGCCTGTTCACACAGAACACCTTCTTGCATTTAAATATAGATAATGGAATGGAAGGGAATGCAGGGGTCCCTTGACATGTTTTTAAACTATTTTTAACTTGACTTACTCTTAACGTTGCTCATGACGAGACTGAAAAAATAGCGAAACGAAAGGAAAGATCTGACATCCATATGTACACAGACAATTAAATTGCAACAAGTAGCCTATTCTGTGTGAACGACCCCAGATTTAAAAATCTAAAAAAAAATTAAAAAAAATCCCAATTAGATTTCTGTGCGTTTATAACAAAACAACGATAATTTGATTGAAATCGAATCGAGCGAAATCATTTGCTGAATCTGAAATTGCCCCCTAAACCATCAATCACCAGGGCCGTCGCTAGTGGGGTGAAAGGTGGTGACAATTATAGGGGCCCCCGCTGCCCAGGGGGCCCCACAAAATCCAGCAGTTATACTATTTAGGCCCCTGTTGTATGAATAATTCTAATATTTATATTAGTTGTATGCCTGAGATTTAAATGAAAACCACAAAAACGTGGAATTTGGGTAAATATTTTTCCAAATATCTGCTTCTCTTACCTCCTTAAAAATGGTTTAGTCCGACCTAAAGTATTTATTAATTATTCAGTCAGAGTCAGTGACAAACATCAGATGGACCCAATAAAATTGTAAGTCCCACCCCAGCTCGTGAACAGAACCAATCAGAGTTGAGGCGGCAGCCTGAAGATAACGATGAACTTGGTGGAAGAGCAGGAGACTGACTGACTGAAAAATGTCGGGGAAAAGAAAACAAAAATCAGGTACCAGAAATGCCAGGAAAAGACGGAGAGGGAGGCAAGGAGAGTGGTTGTATCCCAGTCGATCAAGACGTTCTTAAAGACCGGTTATATATTGTTATTTCGCTGGGAATTAGAAAACTTGTGTCTACAGTCTGCCGTGTACAGTAATTTTTTATTATCGGTGCGCGCCACAATCGACCGAATGATTACGTGGTCTAAATTCCTGTCTTTTTACACTATTGTAAATAGAGTTTTAAAAAAAATTACACGAGTCACGACGCATTGCATTATGCATTTGACCTGCCGGCTGATGATATTTAAAACATCGAGAAAACACGAATACAACACACTGCAATTGGATGAATAAATGTATTCGCTTTATTTAATAATATTACCAGTTCCATATTATCTTTATTAAAAAATAAGGCAATATGGTTTTATTTTTTTAATTAGACTACATTCTTGTCAATTTCTAAATGTTTACTTTTTGATTTATGAATTATAACAGACTGATGGGGGGGGAAAAATATTACTTTTTAAAAATTGGTTTTATTATTATTTAACAATTTCTTGCTTTTTGTTAGTTTTTATTAGTTGTAATTTTTATATAAACATTTAACTTTTAAAATAAAGGTTTCACAACAACATCACCATCTTCTGTTACATGTGGGCCTCCATGTTCATCTATTGTACAGTAGCCTATATGATATTGGTGGAGGGTGGTGGGGGCCCACATCAATATTTTTTCAGGGGGCCCCGAATCCTCTAGCTACGGCTCTGTCAATCACTACAACCTACGTTAGTCCACCGTTGAGTGTACATTGGCTGGTGCAATGTGGAATAGAATGAGTACACTCGATAACGTCCACAACGGTTTCGGACACAATTTACAAATGGATGCCCCTTCAAATAGTTTGCCTGAAAATCAACCCGAACCCATGGTGCAGATTAGGAAAGAATGAAATAGACAAGAAAAGGTGTGGGATATGGTTGGTTTTTACCGTTCGGTTTCCCTCTGCTGGCCTGTATGAGGTACTGTCGAGCAGCCGGAGCATCACCCAGTTCTAATGAAGCCACTCCAGCTCTGTACAGGGCCTTAATGTCCCCTGCCCTCCAATGGAGCACTTTCAGACTGTACTCTAGCACACGGGTGTAGTCCACCACCTCTCGCTGCAGCAAACATGCTGTGTGACACAGAAATAGGTCAAGCGGAGAATGCCTTCCCAGATAAGTTTTGCATACACTACTGTTCAAAAGGGTTTGTTTGGGGTCTGTAAGATTTGATTAATGTTTTTAATTAAAGACGTCTCTTATGCTCACTAAGGCTGTGTTTATTTGGTCAAAAAACAGTAAAAACTGAAATATTATTACAAATATATTTTAAAAGGTAATTTATTCTTGTGATGGCAGAGCTGAATTTTCAGCAGCCATTACTCCAAACAAGTGGAAACAATGTGATACATTTCCCCCCAGGATTCTTTGATGAATAGAAAGTTAAAAAGAACAGCATTTATTTTAAATAGAATTCACTTTGGATAAATTGAGTGTCCTTGCTGAATAAAAGTACTAATTTCTTTGCAAAAAACAAACAAAAAACAAAACATGTAGTGGATAATAAAGCAAGATCTTGATTTGTGCTATGGGTTGTCATGAAATGGGTGATCCTACATCAAAGATTAAGGACCAAGTTTGTAGGACTCTTATCTCCTATTTCTTGTATGACTAACATGGGAAAATGCTAGGGTTAAAGGTTTTAACATGTGGTCAAGGTGATATGACAAGCACCAGCAAAGGCTGAAAGCAAATAATAGGATCCTGGTAAAATGATGGAAACTGTTATGCTGAGATAGACAGAAATGGAACCATTTGGTTTGGAGGTTTTAAACCAATAGGAATTGAATAACCCAAATGGCATGATAAAGTCTGACCAATAATAATACTATGTTAATTCCTGCCCAATAAGAAATTCTGTGAACATGCTTAGAAAGTCGCTTCGGATAACATTGTCTGCAAAATGATAACGTTTTAGTGTTGTGATATTCGGTACCACAGCATTACCATGTCACACTGCCAAAGTACTTCTTTGTAAGGATTACAAACCTGCTAAATTATTATAGCAGTCTACTTGAGTGCTCCTCAGCAGGTCCTCCTGCTCCTGGCTCAGTTTAGGCACCTGAGCCCCAAACCCTTGCAGGACAGAGTTCACCTCTGAGTCCAGGCCACGGAGAACGAGCAAGGCACGATGATAACGTCCGATGGCAGCTCGCACATTTTTCTCCCGGTAGAATCCATTCCCCTCTGTCTTTAACCGAATGGCATCCTGGAGCTGTGAGTCCAAACGGGAACGAGATGATCCTCTGGTGGCTCCCAAACATGACGAAGCACCGGCCGCTGCCTCTGACCCATCATCCCCTGCAGTAGGATCTAAAGCCTGCCACACATAACAGCTGTAAGTGATGACAACATAAAACTACTGCATTATAGACACTTAACGACACAAACCAAACTGGTGTAGCTGGTCTCCCAGCATGACCAGGTGAAAACCCTCCCAGTACCCTCTAAAACCACAAGCAGACCAGCCTAACCAGGCAGGGAGACCAACATACCACCTTAGGCTGGTCTTAGCTGTTTTTCCAATCAGAGTTTTAACAATGATCACACATCTAAAATTATTGCTAATAAATAAATAAATCCAAGCAAACGGGCACACAAATTATGAGGGCGTGCAACCGAGTTTACATAATTAAAGTCACATAACTTTTTGAAATCTAACCAGATCTTTTCATTGAACTTGAACTGCGCCCAATCACAGCATGCATCAGTAAATTGCCCCGATTTTTATCACATATAAAAGGAAACAACATATGCTAAGTATATTTTTTACCGTTTCGTCCATAGCGTTTAAAGCTTTAAAATGGCTGCAGTCTGCTTAGAGAAGCCAGTTTAATGAGGATAATTTTGTTGGGAGTGGGACGCTAAAGAAACAATTCTGACACTCTTCTTCGTGGCTATGGTTGCTGAAGTACAATTGGCAATACTGCCTCGTACCGGTAGAATATTAATAGCGCAACATCACATGAGAGATTTAGCCTACACCAAGCGTGCCGCACAAGCCCTCAAAAGTGAAGCCAAAACGTCTCGATCGCCCCCCGGTGACCGGTCCTAGTTTAGCTCATAAGCCCCGCCTCCCCATGTTATTCAACAGGACGTGAGACCAACAAAATAATTAAATTACACTTCACATACCTTTTTTCTAAAGATAGTTTCTGTCATTTACTGTAGTTTCTATCACGTTGATGTAATTTCAAGTGTTTGTTTTTAAAATAAGTTAGTTTTTAGTTAGTTATTTGATGCTATAAAAACGGTGCTGTGACATCATGATTGACAGCTGTGATTGACAGGTTCTCTGTGCGAAGTAGTAACTGAAGCACCAACGGACTTTTTTTCATAATGTTGATTATGTGGTTAGTAGTTGTATTTACCTTATTTTAACGAGGTACTACAATCAGCAGACATCATTGGCGAGGAACGGAGCAGACAAGGCCACTTAAGAAAAGTGCGGGGCGTGTGCTTACGATTGATTCAACGAGCGTGAGGGCGGGGCCTTGATTTCGCGGCTTTACTTCCTGCTCACGACTGCGCATGACTGGTCCCGAAAACGCTACTGCGCAGACTCAAGTTCCAATATGTCAGCGCCATATCGGGACACTGGCGGCTTCAGTTCTCTCCAATGGAAAAGAGCGAAGGGGCGTCGTCCATCTTTTTTTACAGTCTATGGCCTACACAATCACGTCTATATTCAGTGAATTAATAAACTAAATGGAAAAAAAGGGCGCCCTATTATTATATAACCAACCAACCATTACAATATAATTATAACGGATAATAAAGTTATTGTGGAATGACTTATTTTTAAAATTACTTAATGAAACTTGAAACTTAAATTAAAGAGTATATACGCAAAACTTCACATGTAACAAACAAGGTAGCAAAATGACAAGATTAGGAAAATAGATTAAACCGGAAAAGTTAAACATTCAAGAGATTTGAGAAGCGAGTCTGTTTCAACTAAAAAATGTGAAAAAATCAAACAAAATAAAGAAATTTAAGATATATTCCATAGACTTGTTGGAAGCATCAGTATATATCAAATTATCCTACCTTTTAAATTTAGGATTAATGATATGATATCATTAATCGATCCTAAATTGATATGTCATAAACTAAAACAAATATTGATCCCGAGTCCCGACTGTTAGCTATAACTAGAACGATGTTATAGTGTTTGCTCATTATGATGGGACGGAAACAAATTATTTAAATTCCTAAATTCAGTGACTCAATATGTCATGCGTTTCTACAGTACCTGGACAAATTTGATGCATCAAATGTCACCTTTTCGTTTTATTTCTTGGTGGGTTTTAAACTTGCAATTTTTGGATTATAACGTGGGTCTGATAAATTCCAGGCCGTTTCCTTTGTAAGAACAGCTAGTGTAACGTTTGATTTAGAGAGTCTTTGCATGACGGATGATGACCCATTTTTAAGTTGTGGTATGTTTGGTCTGTAATCGGCCTTACATAAACGCAGCGCTGATCCACTGACCGAATTAAGCTTTAGGGGTGTGGCTGTGGCGCTGCCATTGTCATGGAAAAACCCCAACACCCACTTTTGCTGACATTTGTAAATATACAGTTGAATTAAATAAATTACACACATATTTGATATAAAACAAAGTCAGTTAAGATTGCAGCTCTATATTCGCGCGTACGTGCGGATCTTGTGGTGAGAGTGCGTCATCAGCGTCACGCGCAGCCCGCCGTCACACTCAAAAGTCAGAGCAGAACCGTTGTGTAACCGTCCCGCCGCCGGAGGGGAGGAGTCCAGACACAAATATACACTCTCTGTGTTGTGCTGTAAAATTCCACTGTACAGTTTACATTTACTGTCGAAAACAAACATCGAGTTTGTAACAGGTAAACTAGACTCCTAATCTTTGAGTACATGGAGCTGGATCGGCGACTCTTGCTGGCTCACTGCGCCGCCCACACCCTGTCCGTTATCGCTGGGCTATTGGTGGTCGTGCCGCTCGCCCTCAACGGATCCGCTTTCAAGGGGAGGTGCGCGCTGTTTAGTCAAGGCTTCTGGAGGACGGAGAACCTCACGGTGGGCGAAGGAGAGTCCAAAGCGGTCACTCATCTGGTGGTGCAACAATGGGGTCCACTGGCCGCCTGCCAGTTCGCCACATTTGTCGGTGTGTTTACGGTGCTGTACGGCGCAGTTCAGGGCTGGAGGAGCCTGTTCTACCTCTCTCGACGGCACGACGAGTGAGTGATAATGTGACTTACAGAAAATATAAAAAAAAACATTAAATGATCAAATTAACATTACATATCTACATAAAAGTAGAAACTTGAATTGGCATATTTCTATCAAATAACAACAATAAATGAAACTATATATTGTTGTATCTAAGCAAAAAAAAATTTGTATTCAATATATGTTTAAATAATATTAAATTAGCTATATATACATATAATATATTTGTGTATAAATAACATTCAGTTGTTTTATTAAAATGTTTTTTTAAACGAACACAATAAATTATACTTATTTTAAATATGTATTATTTATATTATATCTATCTATAAATTACAGGAATGTCTGTCTGTCTGTTCTCGAACCGTTAACGTTAGTCCGATGGATTTCAAACTTGTTGTCTTGCTAAGTTACATACGGACACGAGTAGTGCAGTGCCGAGTTTGACATTGTTTGGATTAGAAATGCAAAAGATATCGTTAAATATATCGGTAAAAGAAGCACACATTGGAGTTGTGGTTTAAAAACAAACATTCTGACATTAGAGAGGGTTGTGGTTTAAAAACAAACATTCTGACATTAGAGAGGGTTGTGGTTTAAAAACAAACATTCTGACATTAGAGAGGGTTGTGGTTTAAAAATAAATATTCGGTCAACTAAACATTAAGCCAGCTACACTGTTTACTTCTGAATATTGTAGTTATTCTTCAGAAGTAGTTAGTTGTCAATATATAGTTAAATTTTCCATATTAATTGTATGTCATTATGTCAGCATCAGTATTTGCTTTACCATGCACAAATAAAAATGTCACTGAACTTTTGCTGTGTAATTGTAACAACGAGCACTCAAACACACAACAAACCAACAATTACTAAAACACACACAAAAACTGATTTTGCACATACATACTGTCAAATCGATTAATCACGATTAAAAAAATATACAGTACACACACACATATAATATACAGTATATATAAATATAATATAGCATACATAGACACACATCCGTCTATAAATTACAGAAACGTCTGTCTGTGTTATTCGCATATCTCGGTAAAAGAAGCACAGATTAAAGATGTTTAGATGATGTTTAGAAGGTTGTGGTTTAAAAATAAACATTTTGACATTAGAGGGTTGTGGTTTAAAAATATCTGAATATTATATTTTATTCACGGCCATCATTTGTAGTAGCCTATTAATAAACTGTTTACTCAAGCAAAGTGTTTTCTCGGAGTTCACTGTTTAGCTGCTCCCTGAATCGTCACGCTTATTCATTTGTGGATGTTAACCGAATCTGTAAGTCAGCTACATTGTTTACTTCTGAATATTATATTTTATTCTGGTGCGCTTAACATGATTGCTACTGTGTAAATAGTAGCCTGTGCTATTCACCAACTAAACATAAAAGACGCTAACTGCCTTTCATTGTCTCTATAATTGTAATCTGCACAATAAAGTTGATACTAATGTAAATCTAATCTAAACTCCTGCTACCTGTACACACATACCCAAATACATGTCACCTAATATCACCATTATAAATTGTTTTGCAACCATGTAGTTCAATGGTTCACACTCATAGACTGTAAAAAAAGATGGACGACGCCCCTTCACTCTCTTCCATTGGAGAGAACTGAAGCCGCCAGTGTCCCGATATCGCCTGACATCTTGGAACTTGAGTCTGCGCAGAAGCGATTTCGGGACCAGACATGCGCAGTCGTGAGCAGGAAGTAAAGCCGTGAAATCAAGGCCCCGCCCTCACTCTCGCAGAATCAATCAGAAGCACAGGCTCCTGCACTTTTTAAAAATTAATTATAGAAATTTAGATATTAAATTTAAAGCTCCAATCTCCTCAGTCCTCCGAAGATCCCGAAAAAAAGTCTGTTGGTGCTTCAGTGACTACTTCACTTAGAGAACCTGTCAATCACAGCTGTCAATCATGACGTCACCACCACTGCATCAAATAACTAACTAAAAACAAACTTATTTTAAAAACAAACACTTTAAATTACATCAGCGGGATAAAAACTACAGTAAAAGACAGAAACCATCTTTGAAAAAACGATATTTAAAGTGTAATTTAATTGTTTAGTTGGTCTCACGTGCCGTTGAATAACATGGGGAGGCGGGGTTTATGAGCTATACTAGGACCGGCCACCGGGGGGCGATCGAGACGTTTTGGCTTCACTTTTCAGGGCTTGTGCGGCACGCTTGTTCACACTGCACACTGAGTGGCCACTCCCCCTCTCACACTGCACACTGAGTGGCCACTCCCCCTCTCACACTGCACACTGAGTGGCCACTCCCCCTCTCACACTGCACACTGAGTGGCCACTCCCCCTCTCACACTGCACACTGAGTGGCGACTCTCCCTCTCACACTGCACACTGAGTGGCGACTCTCCCTCTCACACTGCACACTGAGTGGCCACTCCCCCTCCACACTGCACACTGAGTGGCCACTCCCCCTCCACACTGCACACTGAGTGGCCACTCACCCTCTCACACTGCACACTGAGTGGCCACTCTCCCTCTCACACTGCACACTGAGTGGCCACTCCCCCTCCACACTGCACACTGAGTGGCCACTCCCCCTCCACACTGCACACTGAGTGGCCACTCCCCCTCCACACTGCACACTGAGTGGCCACTCACCCTCTCACACTGCACACTGAGTGGCCACTCTCCCTCTCACACTGCACACTGAGTGGCCACTCACCCTCTCACACTGCACACTGAGTGGCGACTCTCCCTCTCACACTGCACACTGAGTGGCCACTCCCCCTCCACACTGCACACTGAGTGGCTACTCCCCCTCCACACTGCACACTGAGTGGCCACTCCCCCTCCACACTGCACACTGAGTGGCTACTCCCCCTCCACACTGCACACTGAGTGGCCACTCCCCCTCCACACTGCACACTGAGTGGCCACTCACCCTCTCACACTGCACACTGAGTGGCCACTCACCCTCTCACACTGCACACTGAGTGGCCACTCTCCCTCTCACACTGCACACTGAGTGGCCACTCTCCCCCTCCACACTGCACACTGAGTGGCCACTCCCCCTCCACACTGCACACTGAGTGGCTACTCCCCCTCCACACTGCACACTGAGTGGCCACTCCCCCTCCACACTGCACACTGAGTGGCTACTCCCCCTCCACACTGCACACTGAGTGGCCACTCCCCCTCCACACTGCACACTGAGTGGCTACTCCCCCTCCACACTGCACACTGAGTGGCCACTCCCCCTCCACACTGCACACTGAGTGGCCACTCACCCTCTCACACTGCACACTGAGTGGCCACTCACCCTCTCACACTGCACACTGAGTGGCCACTCCCCCTCCACACTGCACACTGAGTGGCCACTCACCCTCTCACACTGCACACTGAGTGGCCACTCCCCCTCCACACTGCACACTGAGTGGCCACTCTCCCCCTCCACACTGCACACTGAGTGGCCACTCACCCTCTCACACTGCACACTGAGTGGCGACTCTCCCTCTCACACTGCACACTGAGTGGCCACTCCCCCTCCACACTGCACACTGAGTGGCTACTCCCCCTCCACACTGCACACTGAGTGGCCACTCTCCCTCTCACACTGCACACTGAGTGGCCACTCCCCCTCCACACTGCACACTGAGTGGCCACTCTCCCCCTCCACACTGCACACTGAGTGGCCACTCCCCCTCCACACTGCACACTGAGTGGCCACTCCCCCTCCACACTGCACACTGAGTGGCTACTCCCCCTCCACACTGCACACTGAGTGGCCACTCCCCCTCCACACTGCACACTGAGTGGCCACTCCCCCTCCACACTGCACACTGAGTGGCTACTCCCCCTCCACACTGCACACTGAGTGGCCACTCACCCTCTCACACTGCACACTGAGTGGCCACTCCCCCTCCACACTGCACACTGAGTGGCCACTCTCCCTCTCACACTGCACACTGAGTGGCCACTCCCCCTCCACACTGCACACTGAGTGGCCACTCCCCCTCCACACTGCACACTGAGTGGCCACTCTCCCTCTCACACTGCACACTGAGTGGCCACTCCCCCTCCACACTGCACACTAAAATAAACATTCTGACATTAGCAACTAACATGTGGTTTAAAAATATCTGAATATTATATTTTATTCACGGCCATCATTTGTAGTAGCCTATTCACAAACTGTTTGCTTAAAGGGATACTCCACTTTTTTTGGAAATAGGCTCATTTTACAACTCCCCCAGAGTTAAACTGTTGAGTTTTACCGTTTTTGAATCCATTCAGCCGATCTCCGGTTCTGGCGGTACCACTTTTAGCATAGCTTAGCATACATTATGGGAGTGGACAAGACCATTAGCATTTCTAAAAAAAAAATGACCAAAGAGTTTCGATATTTTTCCTATTTAAAACTTGACTCTTCTGTAGTTACATCGTCCACTAAGACCGACGGAAAATGTAAAGTTGCGATTTTCTAGGCTGATATGGCTAGGAACTATACTCTCATTCCTGCGTAATAAGCAGCAGGCGTAATGATATGACGCAGCGCCTGAAAATAGGCCACTTTCCGTCAACACAATGGAACTATTTTCAGGCGCTGCGTCCTATCATTACGCCTGCTGCTCTCATGGTACGGCAGTAAAGTTTCTTGATTATTACGCAGGAATGAGAGTATAGTTCCTAGCCATATCAGCCTAGAAAATCGCAACTTTACATTTTCCGTCGGTCTTAGTGCACGATGTAACTACAGAAGAGTCAAGTTTTAAATAGTAAAAATATCGAAACTCTTTGGTAATTTTTTTTTTAGAAATGCTAATGGTCTTTTCCACTCCAATAATGTATGCTAAGCTATGCTAAAAGTGGTACCGCCAGAACCGGAGATCGGCTGAATGGATTCAAAAACGGTAAAACTCAACAGTTTAACTCTGGGGGAGTTGTAAAATGAGCCTTTTCCCAAAAAAGTGGAGTATCCCTTTAAGCGTAGCGTTTTCTCTGAGTTCACTGTGTAGCTGCTCCCTGAATCGTCACGCTTATTCATTTGTGGATGTTAACCGAATCTGTAAGTCAGCTACACTGTTTAATTCTGAATATTATATTTTATTCTGGTGCGCTTAACGTTATCGTTTTCTCAGAGTTTAGGCTTCTGTGTAATAGTAGCCTAGGCTATTCAGCAACTCAAACATACCAAACCAACAATTACTAAAAACAGATTTTATACGTGCATTGTACTAGTCTATCTATAAATTACAGGAACGTCTGTCTGTCTGTGTGTCTGTCTGATGTTAATCGAATATCTCTCGAACCATTAGTCCGATGGATTTCAAACTTGACAGGTGTCTTGCTACGGGCACGAGTAAGTGCTGTGCAGAGTTTGACATTGTTTGGATTAGAAATGCAAAATATATCGTTAAATATATCTGTAAAAGAAGCACACATTGAAGTTGTGGTTTAAAAATAAACATTCTGACATTAGAGAGGGTTGTGGTTTAAAAATTGTGGTTTAAAAATAAACATTCTGTCAGCTAAACTGTTTACTTCTGAAAAAGAAGTAATTCCTGAAAAAAATCGTGATATGATATTTTTGCCATATCGCCCACCCCTAACCATAACGCGTTGTTCAGTATAAACGTGGGATTATGAATTATATTGAGAACATCATCATACATAGAAAACATGCCGTAATGTACCCTGAGTGTAAACCTTAGACGCATTCATTGTGAAGCGTGCAGCTAGCGATTTGCAAAGATTAATATATTAATATAAAGTTTAATAAAACGTTACACTCACTTCAGTTCTTCTGGTCAGCAGGAACACGAATAGCTGGTACCGATCCTTTTTTCATGAGCAGCTTCTTAGCAAATCCAGCTTTATACTGATCCTCGTTTATAAAGCAGTCTGGTGTGTGAAATGATATGTAGTGAGTTATATCAGTTTTGTTACACGATTTCCCGACTACTCGATTTCATCTCCAGCTAGGGGTGGGCGATATGGCAAAAATATCATATCACGATTTTTTTCAGGAAAATCACGATTCACGATTTTATCACGATTCTTGGTTTTACTATTTTGTGACTGAGCATTACAGCCAAACTAATGTCCATATTTTAAAAACAAAGCCTTAGATAACAAAATATAAAATAAAAAAGAATGGCAGACAGGGGCGAAGATAAAACATTTTTCATTATTTTCTTTGTTATTAAATATTAAGATCAAAGATACACATTACACATACACAACTTAATATACAAATTAAATAAACAGTGCTTTATGTTTTCAGCTACAGTAGGTGTATTTAACAGTAGCATTGAAGAAAGTAATTAAATGAACATAAAACAAAACATAGACTTCACTGTATAAATTATCCATGATACTTATTAAAGCTACTATTAAAAGTTATCAGTCAAGAGGAGTGAGTGATTTTCTCTTTGCATTTTGTTGTTTTATTAACATTTAAGGATATTAGTTCTCCTAAAAAATATATAATTGTCATAATTTACTCTCTCAAGTTCTTTTAAACTCGAATAAGTTTATTTCTTCTGTTGAAAATAAAAGTTATTTGGAAGAATGTGGGTAACCAAACAGTTGATGTACCGCAGTGACTTCCATAGTATATTTTTCTCCTATGGAAGTCAATGGGGACGAGCTACTGTTTGGATAGCCACATTCTTCAAAATATTAATATTAGAAAAATATTAGAAGGAAATTAATACAGGTTTGGAACAACATTAGAGTGCGTAAATAATGATACTTTTTTTTTTTTGGGTGAACTATCTCTTTAAGGACAAGCGGCAGCATGTTTACTATTGCTACTGTCTCTTTAAGAGCTGTGCGCGCCGCGTCTAATCTACACGCATTTGACAAGCAGATTTTCTCTCAATTTTCTCAAGTTTGCTTTCGCTTTAGACATAACTGATTTTGTTTATGTAAACCTTGTGTGTATTTGACAGTATTAGCACAATAAGACTCGAAAGATAACTTAGTCCAGTATCCAGGCGCTGGTAGACAGGCTTTTAGTGCATGTGAGCTTCACATGTACGCGCTGAGAAACGCACATGTTAGAACAGCGCATCAGCACGCGAATAAATGTTTAACCGACAAGGCATTAAAGCACATGCAAATTATGAACTTTTGTGAACTGCAGTGTTTCGTTCCGCTGCGTTAACATTTTATGTGAATATACGTTGCGTTGTTCAGCATGTTGGGCCAGAGGCGCCAGAACAGCAACTGATAGAATGCACGATACTACGATATTTCTTCGAAAGCAGATCGTGGAGACATTTTAATCGTCCACGATCAAAAATCGTCATATCGCACACCCCTAGCTCCAGCATATCAACAATGACCGCGCCTGTCTGCGCGGACTATGATTGACAGCTGGCTCACGAGCGAGCTAAATACATTAGTGTTATTACAATGTAATTATACATTAGTGTTATTATACGTTTATTACAATGTAATTATAATACATTTGTTGCAGTCTTATACATTTATTACAATGTAATACATTTAATACAATGTAATTATACATTTATTACATGTAATTATACGTTTCTTACAATGTAATTATACATTAGTGTTATTTAAATGTAATTATACATTTGTTACATTATTATTTTGTTACATGAAAAACTGTATAGAACTATGAAAAAGTATCGATTCACTTTTAAAAAAGTAGCGATTCTTTTTGAAAAAGTAGAGATTCTTTTTTTTTAAAGTAGCGATTTATTTTTGAAAAAATAGCGATTCACTTTTGAAAAAGTAGAGATTCTTTTAGGAAAAAGTAGTAATTCATTTTTGAAAAAGTAGCGATTCTTTTTGAAAAAAGTATTGTAAAATAATGTAATTATACATTTGTTAGTCTTATTATACATTTATTACAATGTAATTATACATTTATTACATTATTATTTTGTTACATTATTCTTTTTACGATTCAATGTAATTATACATAGTTTTTAATAGGGCTGCACGATTTGGGGGAAATGTCATATTGCGATTATTGAGGTCAATATTGCGATATGCGATTGCGATATAATAAACAAATGGTTTCATGAGTCAACTTGCTTGGTTCTAAAGCAAAATGCACACACAGATTAGTGATAATTCTGAAATGTGTATTTCTCCACTCAAACTAGCAACAACAACTAAATGATTGATAACACCTATAATGATCAATAAGCCATTGATGTCTGGATAAAAATTAATTTAATTTTAATTTAAGTGAACTTCAAACAATCCTCACGTAAACCCATAATAAATGTCATATTTACCTGTGCACTTCCTGTCTACAGGTAGGACATATACAGAAATTGAATAAAGTTATCAAACAGTCTGCGCTGCATAAATTATAAATTATATGGAATAAAATCCTATTTAAAGCTACACACGTTCTTTGGTCAAGAGCAGTGAGTGTTTTTCTCTGTTCCCTTTGTTCTTTGATTAACTTTACTGAAAGAAAGCATTATTGGATGCTGGCCCTTTAAGAGTTGCTGACAGTGAGGCGGATCTCACACGCGCCTTATTCTCTCACAACTCTTTACGACCATCAAAAGACTGCTCTTATGTTATGAAGACACTCGAAAAATTATATTTTGGCATAATTGTGTGTGTTGTTGTTCGTTCACTTCAAGCGGAAAGAGAACTGTATTCTGGCGCGCGGTCTGTGCATGCGCATGATACTGGCGCGCGTATTTCAGTCAGGACATTCACAGGCAGCGCGCTCTCTTTTGACTTGTCTCGCTGAATGGTTTAAAGCATTTGTATGAATAAGAGCGGGATCATGTAACACTAGCCAAAGGATGACAAAAAATAACAGGTGCTGCGTTAACAGCCCTAATTTGTTTATTTCATATAAAATCGCAGTATTTTGCGTCATATAATCGCATAGGCTTGACATCGTGATTACGATTGCGATATGATTAATCGTGCATCACTAGTTTTTAATAATAACTATGTATAGAACTATGAAAAAGTATGTATAGAACTATAAAAAAGTATCGAGTAATTTTTTTTAAAGTATCGATTCACTTTCGAAAAAGTAGCGATTCTTTTTTGAAAAAGTAGCGATTCACTTTTGAAAAAGTAGGGATTATTTTTTTTTTTTTAAAGTAGCGATTCTTTTCTGAAAAAGTAGCGATTCTTTTTTGAAAAAGTAGCGATTCACTTTTGAAAAAGTAGGGATTATTTTTTTTTTTTTAAAGTAGCGATTCTTTTCTGAAAAAGTAGCGATTCACTTTTTAAAAAGTAGCGATTCTTTTTTTAAAAAGTAGCAATTCTTTTTTTGGAAAAGTAGCGAATCTTTTTTTAAAAAAGTATCGATTCTTTTCGAAAAAGTAGCGATTCACTTTTGCAAAAGTATCGATTCTTTTTTTATTAAAAGTAGCGATTCTTTTCGAAAAAGTAGCGATTCACTTTTGCAAAAGTATCGATTCTTTTTTTTTAAAAGTAGCGATTCTTTTTGAAAAAGTAGTGATTCATTTTTGGAAAAAATATCGAGTCTTTTCGAAAAAGGAGCGGTTCATTTTTGAAAAAGTAGTGATTTAACTGAATCTGTAAGTCAGCTAAACTGTTTAATTCTGAATATTATATTTTATTCTGGTGCCCATAACGTTATCGTTTTCTCAGAGTTTAGGCTCGTGTGTAATAGTAGCTTAGGCTATTCAGCAACTCAAAGATACCAAACCAACAATTACTCAAAACACACAAAAACAGATTTTGCACGGGCATTGCACATTATAATTATGCTTTATATGTATCAGAAACTAAACTGTGTTATCCATTGGTTTTTATTTTCCCTTTTTTTCTTGCAGCACGCTGTTTTCTGCCTTCCTCACACTGCTGCTGAGTCTATGTGTGCTGTTCCTCTCCGGTGGGGCCAGTGTCACCCTCACCCTGGGTCTGGTGTCCTGGTGCAACACTGTTACAGATCATAACACCAGACCCTACAGGTACACTATGCCTTAAATTTGCAAGCTAATGTCAAGTTTGCACATGTAATATTTAACAATATTATTGATCTGCCTGCATTGACACCATTATATGAGAACTGTACTGAGCTGGACAATGACATCATGATTTTCTCCAGACCGGCTATAAATGAACTAAATAAATAACTTTTTTTCAACAAAAATGAACAATCACTGAACTTACTTAAGCTAGACTATGACGCTATTTTCTTTTAGAAACAAACTTAGTTGCATTATTTTCCTGTTATCTCTGTAAAGCTGCTTTGAAACAATCTGTATTGTAAAAAGCGCTATATAAATAAAGTCGACCTGACTTTTGACTTGGATTAAATGACTACATAATGTTACATAGTGAAATAATCACTGATTCTCTCTTTCTCTGCAGTTGTGCTGAGTCACAGTCTGTTCCTCTATATCTGGACGTTGAGACATCTTCGTTCTACTCTGAGCTCAATTGTGCGCAGGTAAAGAAGTAATTGAGTGCAAGTGACTTGTATTTCGGTCAGAGATCTGTCGCAGTTCAACACAATATGCATATTTTACATGTTAATGCATTATCCTAAGTGTGTCTCTCTTTGCAGATCTCTCTGTGGTGTGTAACAACTCTATGGTTGGCTCACTCTATTTTGTCCTTCATGAGGCTCTACCATTCCCACAGTCAGCAGATCAGCAGACCCTGTTTATCCAGGGAGAAGGAACTCCTCCTGGGGCAAACCCAAGCAGTGTCTTGTCCCATTCATCATCCACATCCACACTCGCACCCTTCACACACTCCCAGTGTTTTTATTTAGTCATACAGTATTCATAGAAGTTGCACTTTGAGGTTGATCTAAGGTCAGTTTTATTGATTGGAAAGAACGAACAAGAAGATTGGTCCAAGATTAGCGTAGAAGGGAAGTCCCCACAGTTGTCATGCATGTTAGAATAACCTCAGTCATATAAATTATCCTGGGTATCATTTGTTATTTTTTAAGCACTTGTTGAAAAGTTTTTATCATGTAGCTTGTAGTGCTTACATTGAGGTAAAATGTTTTGTGCACTCCCAGTCTTTGCCATAACGGATGTCAAAGGATCCTCAAATAGATATGATATATATTGCATTATTAATGGATCACTCTTGCATATACAAGATGTTGTCTAACGTTGTATGCTCAACCATATAATGTGAATTTTAAGTGAATGGGAAGGAAGGACAAGCCTGTTGCATGTGCTCAAGTCAGACCCATGCTCGTTTTGTACTGTGAATGTATACGCATACAGCGTAACTTTGCATACTGAATGGTACTGTCGCTCAAGCCAGACATTCTTTTTCTAATCCGATGAAGGTTTTTTTATATGAAGTTGTTTGTGTTGATGCAACCTCCTAGTTCAAAATCCACTTTTGCAATTCAGAGACGGATAAGCTGGAAAAACATGAGATGGAATGTCAAGAATGTTGCTCATCCTTTTTGAATTCTGAACCTTTGACCTGGAGGATTGTTGTGAAACACAAACGGCTGAATAAGAAACAGGAGGGAGATGAGTGAGAAATGTTGATTTATGGCTTGGAAATGCGATTATTTTTGATGTGTGTGTTTTATACTGCTGTTTGTATCCAGTATGTCCTATTTATAAGCTCTTTTCACTTGAGTAAAGGTAATACAACATGGTGTTTTGATATTAAGCCAATTTTGTATAACAAAAAAAAGTTTAAAATAAAATATATTGAAAATCATTTGAAAAAATAATAATTGAGAAATCAAACTAAAAGAAAATGATATTTATCAAGATTACATTATTAAACAAAATAATTCAAAGTTAATACTTAACTACAAAATATTCAATGTTTCAATAGACCACATAGCCTCAGAAATAGTACAATTTTCAATCATATAATTGTGTGTTAATATTGCAATAGAAATAATTTTAAAATGTTAATACTTACGGACAAAAAAAAACCTGTCCATGTACACATAAAAACAACAAAAATTTATATTTTTCAAAACCCTGGAAAAATGTCTAAGTGTGACATGCAAATAAACAGTTAATTACAATTATATTTTCATTAAAGTGCATACACTGACCATATAATAACAACAGAATAATTTAAAATTTAAAGCTGCACTTAACTACTCTCTCATTAGTCATAATTAGTTTGATCAACATTAATATATAACTTTTTTTTTATTATATGACAAAACCATTTAATATAAGGCCTTGTTTCCTCCCTGTCATAGTTGTCAGTAAAATGGTAAATACTGTAATTATTACTTCATTAATAGTTCTATAAAAACGGATAAATGGCTCAGCAGTTAAGGAAAGGGTTACTATTGCTCCGAATGCATTTTCCTCAATACTGTTTGCACCTGTTATGCTACACATCCTTGCCAATCTCAGACAGCTGATTAAACTTCTCTCTCTTTCATCACAGTCCCTTGTTGTAAGTCAGCACCTTGCAATCTGTTGCCATGGCAATTTCCGGCTCAAGGTGTGATGCCTCGATCTGTGAGGAGCAAAGAATGATTAGCAAGCAATTCCCTGCTAAAATATTTATTATTCAGAGCACACACACACACGAAAAGATTAATGGCAAGAGGTCGACAGGCAAAATAAAACCTGCTGCAGCAATTGTGTTGAAGTGATGCAGATGTTGCTGCAGTACCTCTGACATCTGAGGAAAGAGGCTGATAGCCAGTGGCAAGGACAGGCCAAAGACAGCCAGACACACTAAACTGTGCACAGGCAGCATCATCCTGCGATGGGCCTGCATCAGAGGAAGCCTGGTGGAGGACAGTGAAAACACACTCTCAGGACTCTATTAAACAATTATTTCATGATAACTTAAATAATTAATTACTATTACAATAGTATATATTATAATTCATAACAATTCATTCCTGTTCAGAGTTGAATTTAAATGCAACGGAAGCAAAAGTACTTTCATACTTTTCCAAGAAGGCCATTATGATTGGTGGAAGGACAAAGATTGGCAGCGGTAGAGCTACACGCGTCAGTGCCGTCTCTATCAGTGCCTGATAAAAAAAAAAAAGCATAATAAATTTTTTTTTTTAAAAGATTACTTTTGAAAATTCATGTAACAGTGCAAAATGGTTTGTAAGAATAAAAATATGTCTATAATATATAATAATAGCTATATAATATATAATAACAGCTTTACTTGCATAGATTTGAAAATAAAACAACGTAAAAAACAAACAAAAAAACATTCAAGGCAAAAGTGCCATCAACATATCAAAGTGGGGTGTCCCAACCGTATAACTAACATACGCACATGTTTGGCAGCTATCCGTGAGGATCCCACTACATTCCCGTTGCTGTCCAACACATCTATTCCCTCAGACAGCTCATTGTGTCTCATTAGAGCCACGTTACAGATGTTCGCACTGGCTGAGAAGTAAAACATACACAGATCTTAATGATGACCATCCATGCTTAACAAAACCATGACATCCAGTTTCTGTGAAAGGAGATTTGTTCATCTTCATATAGATTGCACTGGTGAAAATAATCTGATATAATCTCCATTTGTCTGTTATTCGGCAATGTACTTGATTAAATATACACTACCGTTCAAAAGTTTGAGGTCAGTAAAATTTCTTTTTCCTTTTTTTTGTGTGGAAATAATTTAGGCTAATACTTTTATTCAGCAAGGAAGTGTTAAATTGATTAAAAGTAACAATATAAAAACATTATAATGTTACAAAATTATATTTCAATTAAATGCTGTTTTGAACTTTCTATTGATTAAAGAATCATTAAACAATGCATCACAGTTTACACTAAAATGTTAAGGAGCACAACTGTTTTCAGCACTGATAATAATAATAATAATAATAAGAAGAAATGTTGAGTAGCAAATCAGCATATTAGAGTGATTTCTGAATGATCATGTGACACTAAAGCCTGGAGTAATTGCTACTGGAAAACAGTTATTTAACATTGTAATACTATCTCAGAACTGTTTTTACTGTATTTTTGAGCAAATAAATGCAGCCTTGATGAGCATAAAAGACTTCTTTCAAAAACATAATATAACTTACATACCTCAAAGTATGTGTGTCGTGCTTTCTTACTGACACCAGGGGGAGCTTTGCCATGCAGAGTGCTCAGTGTACTGTATTTATAAGGACATACCTACAGCAGGGAAGGGGATAAACCTCTGTATCAACAGTCTGGTGGCAGGGTTAAATTTGCTGGATTTCTGGATGAGTACATTCAGACCCACCTACAAGAAGGAATATTACAGGAGAATTGAAATGTCATTTACATGTGAAACTGTACAACGGTTACCAAGATGTTATGGTATACTAGAACATTACTACCACTGAGGGGTATTAGATATTTTTATATAATCATAAATACATTTTCTTATATAAAATATTATTTTCATAGGCTATTCTTTTCATATTAAATAGAGTTTTAAATGGCAAAAATGCATACACAGCTCATTTAGAGGTTACTTACTTCACAATGATAAACATGTACATTTACATTGCAAGTCACACATAAAATGAATCTCAGACAAAACTTGCACATCATTTACGTACTGCAATTGAAACGGCACTGGTGACGGCTCCCAGGTATCCCTGAAAAAACTTTGAGGTTGGTGTTGGCTAAAGATGACATTGGGGGAAAAAACAATCATCAACATCCAGATTCAGCAAATGTTCCACAGAAAGCATTTGAACTACAGTCAGATGCAGAACAGCAACAGACGCCTGGCCCTCAGGACACAACCATGATCATTCAAATGGAATCGAGAAGAAGAAACGCTTCACTGAATGACCATCTGCAAAGGCATTGCAATAGTTAGACCTCAAAAACCTGACCTGAATTACAAGACCGTACCTTTGTGGCATTGCGGTTGGCGAAGTTCACGCAGGCATTGTGACTCTGGTTGAGCCACTGTAGGAGAGAAATTCTGGGTTAGCTTGACATTCAAACTATTGGTTGATGAAAATGTTTTACTTTCTGTCAAATATGTAAAGGAAATCTGATTAAAGCTGCAGTCCGTAGCTTTTCCTCTTTGTCGCCATCTCTCTGTTCGAAATCTGTAACTGCAGTGATTCGCGGAATTATCATCTTTACGTGGGTTGTAAATCGGCATGAAACAGCGCTTTGATGAACACAGTGCTTTGAGGCGAGTGCTGCTGTCAGTCACCGCGCTGTGTGGATACTGGCATACAGAATCACAGATTCACTTTTTGAAAGTTTGACCAACATAAGAATTTTCATAAGAAAATGTCTTCTGAACAAGTAACATCCATTTTTGTTCTGACCAACTAAGGGGGAAAAAGCATTCGACATGATAAGCTTCGTTAGATTTAATTAACGCGATTTACAGCAACTGTGCAAATTATAGCCTACTTTGTTCTCAAATTGTTCATGTTAACAACATCAGCATTGCGTGACTAATGTTAAATTTAATGTGTTTTATGGTTACCTGTGTAGTTCAGAATTCATATTCTCCATAATAGCAAAACGAGAAAGGCACAACAAAGGAAACTCCATAACTGTGTGAATTAAGAAAACGTACTGTTACACGATTGAACTATTGAAATGTCTTACTTGTTCAGCAGAAAAAAGCCGTCTCTTCTTCCGTTTTGAACCCCTTCAAAACACGGAGTTCACGCACTTTTCAAAAGCCCCGCCGATGTTTAAATCCTTGTGTTCGCATGAGACGGTTTCTTTCTCTTTCTCTAGCCACCTTAAATCCGAAGTACGAAGTCTTTTGGGTTTTATAACTGCTAAATCTCCAGTTGACACTAATGATTGTTGTTTGGATCTTTCTGGATGCCATAAGTTTAATTATGTAAAGTGCTGCGAGAAAAGCCTATACATCTAAACATCTCGTCACGCGCAGTATAGCCGGCTAGCCGAAACTCCTTCTTTAT